GACTAGGCCGAATACCCGAGTTCGTGGCCGACTAGGCCGAATACCCGAGTTCGTGGACGACTAGGTCGAATACCCGAGCCCACCGACCACTCACAATCTGAACGGAACGTGTCGGTGTGCTCGGCCAAGTCACGGATTTACGCCAGGATAATTATGGAGAGGTTAATTTATGTAATGCACCGGATTAGCCCCTAATTTCCCGGGGCCCAGTCCTTAATCGGGCCCAATAAGAATCACTATAAATAGGACCCCAGCGAGGTACGTAACTAACTTTCAACTACCGCATTTATTACGCCGAGCACTTACTTGAGCGTTGGAGATGTCGTTGCAGGCACACCCCCCCTCACATCGGACTACTCGGATAGGAACGAGAAGACCGAGTCCCAGGATCAGACCCGCTACAACAAGGATAAGTAAAGTGTGTATCCTAACACAGGAACAAAAATAATTCACCCTATGTCATTATAATTTTATCAATCTAAATACTTAAAATATATATATATATAAATTGAGAATGTAAGAATAAAAGAAATGAGATGGGTAAAGACAAAGCTGAGAGTGCATAAGGGTTCAAAAGAGACGGTATTCCGTATTGTGTCTTATTGTATCAGCTTTTAGTAAAAGAATCCAAAGGGCATTCATCATTCACAACTCATCACTCTATCTTTTTGCTGAACCCTGGTAATAGGTTCAGACCACAAACACAAACTGTACAAAATAATATACCTGTCTTTCCTGACTCCTGACTCCTGTCCGCACATAATTACTTTCCCTATTCTTATTAGAGGATCATTTCACGAAAGTTACTTATAAGTAATTTTTTTTTTAAGTAATTTTTTTATATTACATTATTGTCATATCAATTTTAATATATTTTATGAGTTATTTAAATTTTAATAAAATTATTTGTAAAAGTAATTTTGTTAAAATTTAAATAATTATAAAATAAATCAAAACTGATGTAACAATGACGTGATACATGAAATTATTTATAAACAACTTCTACACGAGATGCTGTTAGTTTTAACACACTACGCTAGCTGCATGCCAAAATATAAACACTCTGCCTCAAAAAAATATTAATAATCTTACAACAACTTTAAATCTTTATAAATTTATTTTACTCAAAAGGTTAAACATGTTTATAAGTTTTTTAATCTGTGGGACACTCGGTAAAATTATTACCAATTGCTTTCTTATAGCCATAAACATAATAGAACAAAATAGTATATTTTAGTTTCTAATACGTTGTAACTAATTAGGTCGATCTCTTACTTACCAATTGGAACCTCCAAAATAATCTCTTAATGAATTTCTTTTAACTTGAGTTAAGCATAGATTACACTTAATAAAAAGAAGTAAAATTAATACACGAGTTAATTAATTTCCATGCATGCATTAATTTAATTATTAAAAAATGATATATAATGATTTTTGTTGCCTATTTACTAGTTTTAGGATACTATGTATTTTTTAAACATTTATAGATTCAATTAGTAAATTAATTTATCATCAGAGACTATATGCGTAATTTTATAACATGTATTTGTATATATTAATTCGATTAAAATAGAATTTTAATCATGATAGATTAATTTCTTTTCTATCATATATCTTAATTACGAGATATTTCTACACTTTGATATTATAAAATAAAAAATAATAGTTGATATATTAAATTTGTCCCTTCTCCAACGTAACATTTTATTTACAACTAATCTAACTACACGCTCTGTCTAATTTTTGCTATGCAAAGAGAAATATAAAGCACATGTATATATTTTCTCTTTCACCGATCCTAGTCTGTTTAACATGCTGGTTGTTTTCGAAAAAACAACTGCATCTGCTAGCAACTCCATGTTTCTCTAAGAATGTTAAGAACAGTAGTGTCATCGCATTTATTTCATCTTCTATATTTTCACTCTATTTTTGTCTTCATACATGATGGATGTCGATGATGCATGCCATTATTTTCTATTTCCACATGTTAGCACCGTACACGACTGAGCGGTGCTGTACTGCTTTATTTGGGTTCATTACTTCATTAATTGCGAACTGCAACAACGAATACTCGTCATATATATATATATATATATATATATATTATATATATACACAAACACACGAGCTAGCTAGCCAAGTATACAATACACCGTTAGTATTCATGTGTAGAACGTCTTTTCAGAAGCTTCTTACCAGAAAAGACCATTGATCTGGTTCAAAACCTCTCAATTTCGTAAACTTCCTTCCTTTGTAAACGAGTTGCTCTACTTTGCAACAATGGAAGGTTATGGGCATGGATCCAAGAAGGGGTTCTGGACTGCGCAGGAAGACAAAGTTCTAGGTGATTATGTAAAGAAGCATGGAACGGGGAAGTGGAATCGGATTCCTAAAGTGACAGGTACATATTAATAATATCTCATGATTTGTAGAACATGATGACAGTTATATTCTTCATGCTCTTGTTTTCTTCTCATTGTCATTGCAGGGTTAAAGAGAAGCGGCAAAAGTTGCAGACTGAGGTGGATGAATTATTTGAGTCCTAAAGTTAAGCGTGGAGATTTCTCAGAGGAAGAAGAAGACCTTATTATTCGCCTCCACAACCTCCTTGGAAATAGGTTCTTTCCTAACGTCACCAATTTTCATACCAATATAAATCAGTAATCCTAACTCTCCAATTACCTAATTTACTAAAATTAAAAATATATAGTTAATTTAATTGACAATAATAAATTTATCATATATATATATATATATATATATATTTCTAAAATAACGTACCCTTATATTATTTATATTTTATAATATTCATATACTATGTTATTTTTCTCTCTCAATTAATATTTATTTATTTTTTAATTAATTAAAGTATATGTTCTTTAAAAAGTTAATTAATATATCAAATAATTTGAATTGAACTTTATATAAAATAAATAAATAATTATTGTAAGTTATATATTATAAATAAAAATAGAGATAGTATATGCACAAGTAAGTCATGCCTAGATTAGTAAGTCACTGAATCACACTTCACGACCTAAAAGGATAGAGGCTAGAGAGAATACACTTTTTCACCGATCGTACATACTTTTTTGAGTATTGTTATATTAGTTCTGTACGTATAATGATATTTGAACATTCAATCATTTTAAACACTGCATTTTTTTCGCTATCTCTTTCTAACACATTATATACTTATTAATCTATCACCTTTTATACTCTCTTTAATTTCTTTCTTCCTCTTTCAAGGTGTTTAGCATATTGGAGGGTTGGATTTTTTCTCATTAGTATTGTCATCATGACACATTTTATACCAATCACTGATTTTTATGGCACTTTATGATAGATTTAACAAGAGTAGTACACAATATATATTTTTCTGTTTAGGTGGTCTTTGATCGCGGGGAGGATTCCGGGGAGGACAGACAACCAAGTGAAGAACTTTTGGAACACTCATTTAAGCAAGAAGCTTGGTGTTAAGAAGAAGAAAAAGAGTAAAGTGGGTGTTCCTCCAAAATCTATCCCTATAGTTGAACCAAAGGGTACGGATCAATATTCATCAGAATTCGTTGGTGAAGGTGAAAAGCTTGTCCATGAAACTGAAAGCTTGTGTGGTGATCTAATCGACTTCGCGAGCATCATGCATGAGGGGATTATGAATGAGAGTGCCTTTTCTTTTGTTAATAGTAATGTGTTTGATCTATGCACTCCTTATTTCACCGAGGAGTGGTTTTTAGGCCTTTGATTTGATTATGGGTTCCCTGTTCAGCAAAGCATCTTGACGACGATTAATTTCTGCTCCTTCTATTATTTCTAAGCGAAATTAATTGCAGCGTACGTACATGTCAACAACACGCTTTACAAGACATTATACGTGGAGTACACTGTCGCGTCGCTTAGACTGAATAATTTCTAGAGTTTGACCCAAGGGGTACATCAAATTAAAAAGTACCCGTTATAAAAGTGAAAAACTGAAAGTTTTAATTTTAACTGGACTTGAAATTACTGTAAGAATCCATAAATAACATTAAATTGAAATTTTATTTTTAATTTCTTAAATTTAAAATTTACCTCTTTAATCTTATAATTTTTTTTAAAATATTATTTTAATATATAAATTTAAATTTTATTAAAAATTTATTTATATCACATAAAATCTATTTATTGATATTTTTATTAATAAAATATCATATTAAACTCAATTAATATTATATAATCATGTTAATTTATCACTTTTAAATAAGTTATTTATTATAATTATCATAAATTTGGTAATATAATTAATTTTTATTCCATAATTAGAGCACCTGATAACATTTTCCTTCTTCTATGTATTTTTTTACTAGTGGTTTATGAGAATCACAGAGATTAACCTGATGCTGAAGAGTTAGAATAATATGACTAGAGTCTTAAGTTTGAATTAGCCACGCGCCACCCTACTTCATCTACTTGGACCACAAACAGACCGTGGAAGAGTTCTACTCATAGTTTTAAAAATTGGACCGGTCATCGAATCGGTTAAGGTATTGGGTCAGTGGGTCAAAGGTTGAACCGGTAGGTCACTGGTTGAACCGCATGACTCGATTTTTATTTATTTTTATTAAAAAATATTCATATTAAATATATTTATACTTATAAATTTTAATAAATTCATATCTTATTTTAAATTTAAATTTTTCTATCTTATTTAAAATTATTTTTATTTTTATTTTGTAAAAAAATACATAAAAAAATTACATGTTAAACGGTATATTAATACAAATTAAAAATATAAATAATATGTACATATATAATATGCTTGCAATTAATATCACAAAATAATATATGTAATATTTACATAGATATTGAATTATTAAATATATAATTTAAAATTAATAATATACTATAAAAGTTATTTAAGTTGTATATATTGCAAACAAATATATTAGAACAAGTAGTCATTGTTATATTTAATAAGACTCCTTGCTTTTTCATTAAGAGATTCAATTTTCATTATTATTTTTGTGATTTATGGTAATCCCAACCTGAGAGTCCTAAAACTCATCCACGCCCAGCGCGTTCAACTCACGCTCGGTGTCCTTGAAACAGAGACTCTTAAGAGTATCCACGCTTGACGCAACCAAATCACGTCTGGCCCAACATCCAACCTGAGAGCCCTAAGCTCTTCCATGCCTGGCGCACTCAACCTGCGCCTAGCCTAATCCCAGTCAGAGAGTTCAGAAACTCTCATCCAAACCAACAAATCCAGCCACATGCAAACACAAAACACAATACATAGGCTCCATACAACTCAAAATAACTCAAATCTCACATGCATCCAACCTATACATCAAAATCATCAAAATCCTCCTTTTTCTCAAAACCCCAAAAGATGAGATTTTCTTCAATCCATCTATGGATTCTCAACATTCACGCACCTATTGAGTTTCTAAACTCACATGCAACCTACACAACAAACATTCTAGCTTCCCTTACCTGAAGGTTGGCTAAGAATAGCCAACAACTGTGACGAAATAGAATCCCCTTCCAAAGCTCAACCCGGAACTTCAATCATCCCAAAGCAAGCTTTCTAATCTGAATTTCAAGAAAAGTCAGAAGGCATTAGTGGTCTAGAGGAGAAAAGGAGTCAAACAGAGAAATTTGGGAGAGAAAGGAGCTCACTGACCCAGAGACCTTCTCTCTAAAACTTCTCTCTAAAAACTCACATTTTCCTGAAGGCCCCTAACCCATATTTATAGATTTTTGGATTGCCCCAGAACGGCCCGTACCGAGTTCAGAACGACCCGTTCCGAACTCCCAATTCATGCACAAAATCCACGCCCAGAACGACCCGTTCTGAAAATAGAACGGCTCGTTCCGGGACTCATCCGGAACGGCCCGTTCTCCCTCCGGAACGGCCCGTTCCCAACCACGAATTTCAGTTTAATTTAATAGCCGTTCCAGATTGGGAACGGCCCGTTCCAGATTGGGAACGGCCCGTTCCGGGCTACTAAATCAGCCACATTTTTTTTAACCACGTTACAAGGCCCAAGGTGAATAAGGCAGATAACTCCTATTGCAATTATACTAAGCATGGTTAAACCCACACCTAACCCCATTTTAGGTAGAGAGTTCCTGCTTGACTCACGCTCAACGTCTCTAAACTGACGCTCGACGTCATCTAAGTAAAAAGCTCTTCTATCTTGATTGCGCTTGGTGTCACTTAACTAGGGCTCGACATCACAAAGGTAGAGAGCTCGAAGCCTGTCGTCATTCAACTCACACCAAACATAACTTAAGTTAGAGAGCTCTCCTTTAACTCATGATTAAAGCTACCAATCTTGTTCCCAACATTAGTAAGACAAAGCACTTCTATCCTATGTCAACTTAACGCCTTAAAGTTGCGTTCGATGCGATGGTGAAATCTGCATTTGACAAAATTACGAAATTGGCTCATTCGCACCTAAAATTTAGAAAATCCAACATGCCATACAAAATAGAACATATGTACACATTAAACAACTCGTGTCCATCTTCAGAACCAACATGCAACACATATAGTTTGATCCAAATAAGCAATTTTCACCTCAACATGCTTCATGAACACTAAACCCCAACCTCAACATTCAATTCATAGAATTAGCCAACACAACCACATTTTTTTTTAAATCAACCAACATACGACACAACCAATCTAACAAGAATCAAAATTATAGTTTCCCTTACCTCTAAATCCACAAGAATCAGAGAAGAAAGGGAAAGAATCCTCTTAAGGGAAGGGTAAAAGTGAATCTAAACACTCAAGGAGGTCAAAAGAAAGGGAAAAAACCCTCTCAAACTTCAGAGCATTTCTCTCTAAACTCTCTCTCTCTCTCTCTCAAGTTTCTTAAGAAATAAACTTATGAAATTCATGTCCTAAAAGAAACCTTATATACCTTTTCTCTGTATGTCCAACTTGACCTTTGTTCAGAGATAATTCTAAACAACTAAAAAAACTTTTAAAAAAATCATAAATTTTCAAAATTTTTCAACAATAAAACAACAAAATTCACCGCAACTCATACTTTTAATAAAATTAATACTAATTAATAAAAATATATAATGTTACAATATCCATTTAATTATTCATTCTTAGTCATAATGGGTAAAATATTTTTCGGGATAGATTATTTTTTTCTTTTTTCTTTTCATCCTAGCTTTGATAACCGTAGAATTATATATGAAATGACATATTAGATCTAACCAGGAGTTATTCACATAATTGTTTGGTGATATATATATATAT